TGTCGCCAAAATTTCAATTATCATTATAAATTAATAGCAAAATTCTTCGACTTTCAATTATATTTTCAAGAATTACAATAATATTCATTGCAAGATTCAATTATTTACAAAAATATTCAACACAAGAATTCAATTATTTTCAAAATTAATAAAATTCTTTGCAGAAATTCAATTATTTTCAAAAAAAATTCTCGTCAACATTTCAATTATCTTTATAAATAGCAAAATTTTTGGCTAAAATTCAATTATTTTCAAAATTAATACAATTCTTCGAAAAAATTCAATTATTTTGAAAAAAACCAAAAAAAAAATTGTTGTCAACATTTGAATTATCTTTCTAAAAATAAAAATTCTTTATGACATTAATTTCATAAATAACAATATTCATCACAAGAATTCAATTGTTTTTAAAATTAATAAAATTCTTCTCACAGAAATTCAATTATTTTCAAAAAATCTAAAAATAAATTGTCGTCAACATTTCAATTATCTTTATAAATGAATAGCAAAATTCTTCGACTCTCAATTATATTTTCAGGAGTTTTGATCAAATTCATTGCAAAATTCAATTATTTTCAAAAGTAATAGTTTTCATCACAAGAAATTCAATTATTTTCAAAAGTATTAAAATTCAATTATTTTCAATTATATAATTCATAAAAAAAATTTCAATTATTTTCAAAAATTTTCTTAATTCAATAATTTCAAATATTCTACTATTTCGATAAAATTTTTCGAAAGAATTTAATTATTAAACAAAAATTTTGATAAAAGTCTACACAAACTTTCAATTATTTTCAAAAAAAAATAAAAATTTCATATGAATTCAATTATTTAAAATAAAATTTGCATAAATTTTTTCAAAAAGAATTAATTGTTTGAAACTTTTTTTTATAAAGTTCTTCGCAATGATTCAATTATTTTCATAAATAATAAAACTCATTGCAGAATTTCAATTATTTTTAATTCAATTTTCAATCGAATTTCTCGAAAAATGTGATTATTTTCCAAAATTACATTAAAATTCATAGGAAAAATTCAATTATTTAATAATTTGTTTATAAAATGATTTGTAAAAAGTAATTTTTAAGAGAAATTCAATTATTCAATAAATTATCTATTTTAGTATTTAAATAATTGAATTTTCGTAGAATTCTCTAATAGAAATTAATGTACAAAAATTAATTTCAGATAAAGTTTTAGATAATAATTGAATTTTGGAGAAGTTATACTATAATAATAATTGCATTTTTTTTTTTTTTTTTTTTTTTTTTTTTTAGAAATAATTGAACTTTGTAAAAGTTTCAAGTTAAAATCTTTGAAAATTCGATTTTTTCATTCATTTAATTAAAAATTGTATGGAACTAATTTTTTTCAAAAAGTTGAATCGAAATTTTTTAAAAATTATTTGAATTTTTTTTTTTTTTTTTCTAATTTATATCATAGTAGAAAATTTTCGAATCGATGAAATTTCGTAAAATTATATTGTAAACAAATGGATTTTGAAAATTCTCAAAGAACTTTATGAAAAATTTTTTGAGTATCCAATTATTTTTAGAGTAAATCAGAATATTCTAATAAAAAAAAAAAAAAAAATCTTCTAGAAATCTGGGAAAAACAGAATTAAATGTTTGTGGCCACCCCCTGTGTTAGTTAATTTTAATTTAAAAATATTAAAATTAATTTTAATCCACGAATATTAATGTTTAATTTGCAAATATCAAATTTAAATAACATTTCTATATTTAAAATGATGCAAATATTTTTTTTGATTAAAAAATTGTTACAGAAGTAAAAATTAACAAAAAAAACAAACTATATTTCACACGTTGCACGTAGGATTCTTTACCATTTATATACATAAATATATTTAATGGAGATAGAGATAAAGGAAGAGTGGAACCTGTTAGTATATGTAGATTAAATTGTTTCAAAGAACCCTAAACTGCTGTTTATTCATTAGGAAACGCCGTCAGACGAACCAAAGCGAAACAGAATGCTAGCGCCGGTTTTCTAATTCAAATTCAATTTTCTTCATGCGTATGCTCCTCGAATTTTCAAATTCCAAAGTAAACGAGTTTCTTATAGAATTTACAATTTAACGCATTGCTGGAAAATGCAATATTTCACTTGCAAATTTCAACAAACAAGCGAAAAACCTTTTTTTTTAATTTTTATATGGTAAATTTATATTTGCAAACAGTAAAAAATTTAAATAAATTTTTAAAATAAAAAATTTTTATAATATAAATTTTTTTTTTAAATTTAATTTTTTTTTAAAACTATGGTCATTATTTTAGCAAAAAAAAATTTTTTTTATTTTACTAAGGAAAATAAAACTTAGGCGACTTTGTAAAAACAGCTGAAATTTTTCTTAAAAAAAAAGTGGCCCCAAGGTGGACACCATTCAAAAATTCACTTAAAAATTCAAAAAAAAAATAGTTGCAAAATACTGCTGCAAAATAATACACAAGAATATCCCTAGGGTGGCCACCTTGGGGCCCCATACCCTAATAAATAAAGAATTGATAATAATTTATAATTTATAATTTATTTTATTTATAATTATTATTATAATTATTAAGTATAATATTATAATAAATTAATATTATAATAAAAGTATAATTATTATTTTATTTATAATTTTTTTTTATTTTATAATAATAATAATAATAATAATAATAATAAATAATTAAATTCTAAGACGCAGTAAATTACAAACAATTGTAGGCTGCAACTTTTTTATTAATTATACAAATTTACAAAATAGAGAACGTCAATTTTATTTTGTTTTTCAATTTTTTTTTTTCTAATTATAACTTTTAGATTAGTTCTTGTTTCTTCTAAAGAATAATATATAAATAGTTATACTTATAATTTTTTGCGTCTTTTTATAATTAATTTGTAAAATATGTTATTGGTAAAAATTTTTAAACACTCGCTACGAAAGAATAATTTACTAATACACAACATTTTTCCGTCGAATTTTTTTTTTTTTTTCCTATTAAATACAGAAAGTAAGTCTTTTTCTCAATATTTACAAAATTTCCATCTTCTGATGTTCAGTGGCCACAGTCAAGACAAGAAGTGATGAAAATTTTTGGAACGGTGTTTATTTTGTTTTCTACTAGGACTCAAGAAGCACAAAAATTCTGCATCTGAAATAAAAAAAAAAATTTTTTTTATATAAAAACTGATATAATTGTAAACGTTTTTTATTTTTATTTAATTACATTATTTATACATTTATATATCTCGGTAATTTCGACCCAAATTAATGTTTAATTCAATTAATTTAAATTTAATAAATAAAAAAAAATTTAATTCTAAAAAGTCTAAATTAAAAGAGACTTTTTGGATAGAAATAATTTTTCCTTTCATTCAATTAAAAGTAAAATTAGTGATATTACATTAAATTAAATTTCTGTTTCAATTTAAATTTGATTTAAATTTTTTTTTTCAATTTCTGGAAAGTTTATAATTAAAATAATTTATTATTTTATAACATTAAAAAAATAAGTTTATTATTATTAAATAATAAGTATAATTAATAATAAGAATTAGTTTATGAAATTTTTAGTTTAAATAATTGATTATTAGGGGAACATAGTCAGGGTTGGTCCATAGTCAAGGTAGGACCTCTGCTATAAAGGTCCAACCTTGACTTCATTTTTTAAAAATTTTATTTTAATTTTAAAAATTTTTTTAAAAATTAAAATTTATTTTAATTTTTTTTAATTTTAGACCAAAAAATTTACGATATTCAGCAAAGTGTTCCTCTTTTGTAGATATTTCCAAAATTAAAACTCAAATGCCTAAATTTATTTTTCAAAAAAAGTTATAAACAAAATTCGAAAGGTGGTCCAACCCTGACTATGTTCCTTATAATAATAAATTTTTCAAGTTTCTAAATGGTAAACAAATTGAATTTAAAATTGAAATAAAAAATTCCAAAACGAGTAAATAAAGTAAATTAAAGGAAATAAATAAATAAGAATAAATAAATACTATAACATATAAATAAATAATAAATAATATAATAAATAAAGAAGAAAAAATTAAATAAAGTTGTGAAATAAATGAAATTAAAATTAAATAAAATAATAATGTAATAAATCAAAGGAAACTAAATTAAAAAAAAGAAACATTTAAGTTACAGTAAATTAAATTTTATTTAAAATAAATTGAGATAAATTGGAAATTCATTAAAGTACATCCATAATTTTTATTATTTAATATTAAAAGTCAACGTAATATTAATTATTTTATTCTAATTTTTACATTATGCTGCAAAAAATTAAATCAAATTTTACTATTAAATTAAATTTATATTTCAATAATTAGCATTTTCCTCAATTTATGGAAGGTTAAAAAAATAATCTATTATTTTGAAGGTGAAAGAAGTTACCTAACAATTTAAATTTATTATTTTATTTTATTATTTTTAATGTTAATTAGATAATGTAAATATTTCAATTTTAAATAATTATTTAATAAATCATAATTAATTATTATTTTATAAAATTAAAGTTCATTGAAATGCAAAAAATTGATGAACATTTACTAAATCAAGAAAGACTTGAGTTTTCAAATTTAATTATAGATTCTTAGTTGATTACCACATTTTTTTTCATTTTATTCAATTTAAAATTTTCTTATTTTATTTGATTCCTATATTTGTTTATTAATATACTTTTTTCAATTATTTTATAAGTTTATCATTTTAATATTTGATTTATTAGTTTCTAATTATATTTATTTTATTGATTTATTATTGTATAGAGTTTATTAGTTTAATGATTTAAATTTATAAAAAAAAATTTATTGATTTATTTAAAAAAAAAAAAAAAAAAAAAATTTTTAATTTATTGATTTTATTTTTATTATATTTTTTTATAATTATTTAATTAGTTTTTTATTATTTTATTTACTTTTTTTTATATTATTTTATTTACATTTTTTTCTCACCTCGTTTAATAAATTAGAAGAATATTGTTTTTCTAATCATCTCTACAGTATTCTCGCATTTGTGATAAGTAACACGATTGTCTACAGCATTCATCAACAATTCCCTGTCTTCTTGGATTTGATCCACGGTCCAAGGAATTGGCATCGATTTCACCTTTGCGTATTGCTCGTCCAATTGGATAATAAAATGAATTATATCCCGTATCACCACAAATTAATGACAATGCATTACTGAGGGCATTGGAGCACAATTGAATTTTTTCATCAATAAATAATGGTTTCGCTGAAGTTCTCTGTTGACATATTACAACGAACAAAATCAAAATCCAAATGCTTCCTCTTGGCAATTTCATATTGAAAACAACTTTTTTTTTCTTCTTCACTTTTCTTCTTTCTCTTCCTCTAAAATGTGCTTACACGAAACACTTTTTTTTTTAATTCAATATTTATAACAATTATAGTTCTAATAGCAAAATAGAAGTGAACACTTTTCTCTTTCAAAAAATTATAATTAATATCACAAAGATAATCACAGCTCAATAAATATTTTTCTTGTATCACAGGAGAAGGATTTTGATAGAAATTTTTGTTTTGCATTAAAAATTCTTTTTTTTTTTTTTGAATTTTAAACTTAAAATTTCCAGAAAGATTTAAAGTTGCCGATTGATGAAATTGTCGATTGAATTTTATTATTGTAATTAAAGCACATTTTATTTATTTATTTTTGTTTGATTATATAATTTAAATATGATATCTAAAACACTGGACTTTTTCAGAGCCACTGGCACTGACAGACAAATTGCTGACGGGTTTAGTGCTTGCTTTTATAGAACAGGATAGTTGAAGAAGTCGAAAGGAGGGGGGCTAGACCCTAAGCGTTTCAAGGGACATTGTTTACCCATTCTAATATACATATATATCTGACTGTTATCACTCAATCGGATTAATTATGTTTTGAATTTTTTTTTTTTTTTTTTTTTTTTTTTTTGAACTGATTGTAACATTGGAAATAGGAAAAACAAACATGTAAATTCATCAAGGCTGGGGAAAATATTTTGTTAATTTAAAAAAAATAATAGAAACAATTCATTATTGATTATTTTACGGAATCAATTAACATAATTAATTAGATAACAAAGAGCAACAAATTGTAACAATTAGGTAAATAATTGCCAATAAATAGGGTAACAAATTACGACAGTTAGGTAACAAATTGTAAAATTGGGTAACAAATGGTAAAAATTGGGTAAAAAATTGTAAAAAAAATGGGTAACAAATTATTGTTAACATTAGGTAACAAATTATTAACATTGGGTAACAAATTAAAACAGTATGGTAACAAACTGTAACAAGTCGGTAACAAAATGTAACCATTAGATAACAAAGTACAAGAATTAGCAATAAATTGTAACAATTATTTAACAAATTGTAACAATTGTTAGCTATCAGGTAACAAATTACGATAATTAAATAACAAATTGTAAAAATTGTTACCTATTAGGTAACAAATTATGCCAATTAAATAACAAATGGTAAAAATTGTTACCTATTAGGTAACAAATTATGACAATTAAATAACAAATTGTAAAAATTGTTACCTATTAGGTAACAAATTATGCCAATTAAATAACAAATGGTAAAAAAATTGTTACCTATTAGGTAACAAATTATGACAATTAAATAACAAATTGTAAAAATTGTTACCTATTAGGTAACAAATTACGACAATTAAATAGCAAATTGTAGCATTTAGATAAAAAGTATTTTTTATCACTCAACAATGTTACATAACAGTTGAAGTATTAATTTTAAAATAAAAAATTCCTCTCGCAAAAAAATTGTAAATATACAGTATTTTCTTAATTCTCAATCACACTATTTGGCATTAATTATATTTTAAATATTGCTTCGAATCTGAAATTAATGGCATTGGTATAGAGAAATTATATTAAATTCTTGACCTACGGGAAAAATAATACTTTGTAATGGAAGAATAATGGTAATGAGCCATTGATGGGTAGTACAATGGATTTTCCTCATTTTTGAAAATAATTTCATTGTGAATATTCCAAAGTTTTTGGGCTGTTAATATTCCATTATTTGGCTCAATATTGGCACTTTGAGAATTTTAACATTAAAGACGGTCAACATTTTGAATGTTGAGGCATAATTGTTTTCATATAGTTGAAAATCAATTTTTAATATTATTTGCCTATAACTGTAAAAATGTGACGAAAAATATTCAGTATTTTGTATAACTGTTAATGTAACAGTAAAAAAAAATTTTTTTAAATAATAAAGTAGAAAAATAAAATGTAGAGTAAATGGAAAATTAAAATTAATAAAAAAGTAAACCATTTAAAAGTAAAAATTAAAATTTAAAAAAAAAGTAAAAACATTCAGAAGTTAAAATTGAAATTAAAAAAAAAGTAAAAACATTTAAAAATTAAAATTAAAATTTAAAAAAAGTAAAAATATTTAAAAATTAAAAAAAAGTAAAACATTTAAAAGTTAAAGTTAAAAACTAAATGTAGAAAAGGTAAAATAAAAAATAGAAAATTAAAAAAGTATAAAATAAAGGAGAAAATTTTAAAAAGTTAAAAGTAAAATTGAAAATTAAGTAAGTGAAAAGAAAAAAATTAAGAAAGAAAAATTAAAAATGTAAGTAAAATAATAAAAATCTAAGTAAAGTTGTTGGAATTAAAAGTAAAATAGATAAAAGTAAGTAATCAGTAATTAAAGTAAAAAACTGAAAAGTAAAAAATGAAAAAGTAAGTAAACAGTATAAAAGTTGAAATCTTAACTTTCAAAAAACTAAAATGTAAAAAAAGATTTAAAATATAAAATAAATTGTTATTACATTGAAAATTTTTTAAATAAAAGTAAAAATATGAATATTAAAAATATTGAAAAAACTAAATGTAAATAAAATTTAAATTTAAAAACGAAAATTAAAAACTTAAATCGTAAAAAAGAGAATTAAAAATGTACAAAATATGGAAATTAAAAAAGTAAAAATAAAAAACGTAGTAAAGTGAAAATGTAAGAAATAAAAGTAAAAATATGAAAATTAAAAAAGTAGAAAAGTGAAAATGTAAAAATATGAAAATTAAAAAAGTAAACATCAAAAACATTGAAATGTTAAAATGTAAAAAATAAAAGTAAAAATATCAAAATTATAAAAGTATAAAAGTGAAAATGTAAAAATATGAAAATTAAATATTAAAAACCAAAAACATAGAAATGTTAAAATGTGAAAAATAAAAGTAAAAATATGAAATTTCTAGAAAGTAAAAAACGAAAAAAGTAAGTAAACAGTATAAAAAAATTAAAACATTAAACGTAAAAAAGAGAATTAAAAATGTAAAAAATATGGAAATTAAAAAAGTAAAAATAAAAAAAACGTAGAAAAGTGAAAATTTAAAAAGTGAAAATGTAAAAATATGAAAATTAAAAAAGTAAAAGTCAAAAACATTGAAATGTTAAAATGTGAAAAATAAAAGTAAAAATTTGAAAATTATAAAAGTAGAAAAGTGAAAGTAAAAATATGAAAATTAAAAAAGTAAAAATAGAAAACGTAAAAAAATTGACAATTAAACAGTAAAAAATTTAATATTGACATTCAAAAATAAAAAAAGTAAATAAAAAAGAAAAATGTAAGCAGTAAAATAAAAAATAGAGAAGTAAATAAGTAAAAAATAAAATTAAAAAAAGTAGAAAAGTAAAAATAGAAATAAATTGCTTAACAGTAAAAAAAATAAAAAATAGAAAGTAAGAATAGAAATAAAATTAAAATAAAAAAAAACAATAATTAAATCAATTAATTATACAGGAGTCTAAAAATATAAATTCTATCTCTAAATATAATTTTCTAAAAATAACTAAAAATACCATAAAAATAAATATTATCATTTCTCTTTGACTGCATATTCAAAACAAAAAATTTCCCCCTTTTTTCTTGTTTGTTTATTTTCAGATATCACACTATGAATTAAATTAATATTATATATTTGTCCATTTTATCTGTTTTCAACAAAAAAAAAAAAGAAAGGAGAAAATTGTTTTTTTCATTTTCAACTGGTTTATTTTTTTAAAAACTAATCTCAATCGTATCGTACATGTTATTTTTTTCACTTGGGAATATTGATAATATTTCTTATTTTTCTTACTTTTTTGGTTTCTATTTTTATCGCTTATGGAAATATTGACCTTTTAACTCTATGGGAGTTCCGGTGTAGCAAAATATGTGTTTATATCTTTTTTTTCTCGAAAGAGAGAAAGAGAGAGAGAGAGTGGCACATGTCTATTTTGACAGTAGAAAAATCCTTATGTGAATGACACGCGTATACATGCGTTTGCCTGTGAATTTTTTTTAAAGGTTCTTTAAGTTTTTAAAAACATTTTTTTAAACTTATGAACTTTTTTCTTTTGTTATTAGGTTTACAAAAATAATATTTGACGCAAAATAATTGTTGTTCTATTTTCTTTTTTTCATTCATAGAAAAGAAAAAAACGATTATAGAATATATATGGAAAGTAAATATAGAAAAAAACAAAATTTGTCGGAAGCGTGAGAGAAAGGGGTGGGGGGAATAAGTCACATTATCATATCACGTGCATCACGCGTGGGGGAAAGCAACATTTTCAAGTTGAGATAAAAAGGTACCTCAGAAAAGTTTCGTTTTTTTCAGTAGTAAACATCTTAAGTAATTGTTACGTAACATTTTTCTCATAATAAGATTTTTTTTTTGGTTATTTTATTAATTTACATGTAGATGTAAAGTTACATGTTGATAAATTTATTGTTATGTAACAAAAAGAAACAGTTCTGTAACTGTTAGGTAACTGCGAGAGTAAAGTGTCTGTTATATAACAAAATAAAAAAAAAATTTTTTTTTAATTTTGTTATAAAACAAAATAGTTATGTAACTTTCGTTATAAAACGATTTCTTTAACTTTTGTTATATAACAATTTTGTAATCTTCGTTACATAACGATTTTGTAACTTTCGTTACATAACAAAATTGTAACTTTCGTTACATAACGATTTTGTAACTTTCGTTACATAACAAAATTGTAACTTTCGTTACATAACAAAATTGTAATCTTCGTTATATAACAATTCTGTAACCTACTTCGTTTGATGCAATGTTACACAACGTTACCTTAATGTTATTATTAAAAATGGTGAAATTATTTTATAATTAGTAACAAGTTGTTTGTCATTTTTGTTACAATGTTACGTAACTGTTGCATAATCATTATATAACAAATTTTTTTTTTTTTTTTAGAATTCAATTTTACGAAGTTTTGATTATTCGGAAATTCTTCAATTATTACATAAATTGGAAAA